AGGGCTGCTTCTGTGCCGTCAGCCACCTGTGAGGGCACTGAAAGGGGTCACCTCCAGGTCCACAGGCAAGGAGCTATAGACAATTAGAGGGCATCGAGCTCCACCTGCTGCAGTGTTGCTGTAGTTCATTTTACCTACCGCTGCTGGATGGGATCTCAAGAAAAAATGACCGTAATTATTTTTATGGAAGAATTTTGGGTCATTTCCTCACATAATCTCACTTTAAGATGATGTTTCATGTATTACTTCATGATTTTTTTTGTTTGTTTTTTTAAAATTGTTTCTTACATATGGAGTTGTATGAGATTTTGTTACTTCACTATAATGAAAGCAGGAAATGATCACTGAAACAGGTCTTTTGATAGCTTAAAAGCCAATTAGATTAGCTATGATGAAAATCTTCGTAAGTCAGAAACACTAAAAACCCTGCAACACCCGAACTCCAACGATCATTCAGATTGTCATGATAATATATTGTTGAGTTTAACAAATTAGACATACCAGTATTGGCTTCTGTTTTTTATATCTGCACTGCAAATTAAAAACACAGTTCTCCTGTTCTATAATTATGTACAGTTACCATTTTAAGCTCAGATTGCACCTTTTCAATACATGACATTGTAGCAAAAGAATGTTGTAGAAAAGGAAGCTATTCCCTTCTGGTTTCTGTGATAAGGCTGATTGAATTGCATTATCAGTGCCTGGGTGGAGGGGGTGGCATATGTGATACCTCCCTCCCTAAGCCACTGTGCAGAGGTTGGGGAGATTCACAGCTCTTTTTTTCCTTTCCTCATGAACTAGCAGAGTTGACTGGCTAGAGGTAGGATGCAGGGAAATGTTGCGTCTGAGGAAACTTTTCTTCAGTGCTCTGTGGCCTTAGACACTTGCAATGAATGTAGCTAAATGGCTCCAGACACTATACCTAGTGGTCAGCATCCTAGTGCTTCCAAACCATTGAAATATTAGGGCTACATTCCACCACTCTTCCTTCCCTGGAGCAGCAAGTTATTCTGAGACTCTCAATTGGTTTTAGTAATGTCATTCAAGGTATTGCCAGCTGTAAAAGCAATGGTACCTGGCCATTGTCAACATTTTACTGCTGGGGGGGAATAGTGTCAGGAGCAAAGCAGATTGGAAATTCTGCTGAGTGCAAGATGCTTCTGCTCCAAGTTGAAATCGGATTTCTTCTAGTTTTCTCTTTAAACACAGGTAATGTGTGCAATTTGAAAAAAAAAAAAAAGTCCCACCAGTATCAGTCTGCTGGATAGCCATATGGGAATAGTAACAGAAAAGGAGAAAGAAGATTGAAGGATGTCCAAATCCTTAGGATTTCTTGGATTTTTCATTGTAGACTCAAAAAAAAAAGAAAGTGTGCCCTGATACAGGTCAAATATTGCCCAACATATGAAAACTTATCCAATTTTAAAACCGAACTGCATCTGAAGCAGCTTCTCTGAAGGTGTTTCACCTACAAACTCTTCTGTTCCATCCATCTGGCACCTTTCCACCTTTAAGAGTACTCTGAAATTTAGAAGGGTAAGTCAGAAGAAATAATTACTTATTTGCCTTTTAGCAGTATTTATGTTTTGGATAGAACATTTGTGTTCATGAATATATAGGAATGTAGTTATAAATATTTTCGACTTCTTATGCTGGAAATTTTTTTTTTTTTTTTAAATCTTATTTGGCAACTCATTTCCAAAATCTAGTCTACTTTTGAAAGCCTGTTTTCACAGATAAATCATAGAATCGCTTTGGTTGGAAAAAACCTTTAAGATCATTGAGTCCAACCTTTAACCTAACCCTGCCATCCCACCACTAAATCATGTCCCCAAGCACCTCATCTATCCTTCTTTTAAATACCTCCAGGGATGGGGACTCAACCACCTCCCTGGGCAGCCCATTCCAGAGTCTGACAACCCTTTCTGTGAAGAAGTTTTTCCTAATGTCTAACCTAAACCTGCCCTGGCACAACTTCAAACCACTTCCCCTCATCCTATCGTCCGTTAGCAGGGAGAAGAGGCTGACCCCCACCTTGCTACAGCTTCCTTTCAGGTAGTTGTAGAGGGCGATAAGTATTCAGAATCTGCTTCTTACTATAAATGGTTAAAATGAATAACTTTGATTTCTGGAAAAATATACCAAATATTGATGATTAAATTTATGTAATGACAAATACTTAATTTTTCCAGAAATCAAAGTAACAGACTCTCCATACTGACTGCATATTCATCCCCAGTAATCTCCTTGGATTAGATTAGCATTTCCTGTAGGTGAAGTATGGTGCTCACTCAGGCTGTAAAATGATTCCTCTCTTGTTCAGTGCATGAATGCGGTTTTCTCAGGCACTGAGGTGGGCTCTCAGGTATGTTGGAAGCCCTCTGTAAGCCTTGTGCTGATGAGCGGTGTCAGTTTGCCCTGTGTGTCTGCTGCTGACCAGTTTTGGTCAAGTGCACCCCAACTGCATGAAATAGTGGAACCTTCAGACTTCTCTCTGACATTTCATTAGTTCATCATTATACTCTGGATGCAGAAAATTTTCTTTCCATTCCAGCTACTTTGCGTTTAGAACCATTTTTGGATTTGCTTCTTGTGGGCTGCTTCAGTTATTATATTAGCACATTGGTGTTTGCTGTTCTCCAGTGAATGAAGATCCTGTTCCTTGCACTTTGAACCTTTGTTCTGCAGAAATGTTACATAAGAATATAAATTTGGAAAGAATTTTGTGCCTTCTCAAGTCAAGATTACAACAAGCAAAATGCTCTGCTCATAAATTTATTTTTTTTTAAATACTTGAATATTTCCAGGCTTTGCTCTGTTGTGCAAAAGCACAGCAATTATTTCATCCACAGCTCTGAGTCTGCTGTGCAGCCTTTTTTGTGCATCAGCTGTACCCTGACTATGTGGATGCGCCTTGCTAGGGCCTCCAGCTTTGCTTTGCTTGGAATCAATAAATGAGTTCTTTGATTTGAAACTAGTGCAGAAAGGAATTACTGTTTTCATATCCTTTTAGCCTGAGCACTGCTGAGTGATCTAAAGTCTTTTATTAATCTACCTATACAATTTTTTTTAATAGAGGGGAATATGTCTTCCTTCCACTTGAATAAACTGATGGTTGAAGGAGTTCTAAAAGTGCTTGTGTTTGACTTCAGGGCTTTTTATGAGTCTGTGCCTTCCTTGTGGGTGAAAGCACAGACCCAAGAATAGTGGTCTATCACAGTGTGTATCTTCAGGGAAGAGCAATTACAGGTAAGTAATTTCCTATTCCTGGTTTTGGAAATTGGATTTTCTTTTTATGTTAGACACAGTAGTCTATACAACAGCCTTCTAAGAGAAAAGTTACTTTTTCTAAGCTTTTAAGCATAGTAATTTAGAAAGAATGTATGCATTTTGCACAGTAGCTTGTCAGCAGGTACTTCATAAGAGAATCAATTTGTGCAACAAAGTTAGTGACTTCTTAAGTTTTTCTACAATAGACTAACCGTTGTTTTTGCTTTAGTTTGCATCTCTGTAGAAAAAACTTATTTGCACTACTTAATTTTGAAAATTACAACCTGCCATAGTATGAGTAACTACAAGTATTTCACGTATGGTTACACGGTTTTGTTCATTTTTTAGGAACCAGTAAACAAAGATATGCAGGAAGAACCACCCAAAGAAGTGGCTGAGGTTACTACTAGCAAGGAGTCTTTCAATCCAGAGGTGAGACAACTGGTGGTGAAGCTTTGATTCAAGATGGAGTTAAAGAAGGCAACAGACAAACATCATGTTTTAATTATTCACATAGCTATGTTTGCTGAATTCAAGGTTTAAAGCCTTACTGTACATAAGGAATGAGCCTTTTGCTGACTGATGAACGTTTCATAGGTTTTTATCTAGTAAAACTCCTTTGAAGGGATCAGAAAATTCCTGATGAGTGAGATGTAGGGCTCTATTGTAATTTGGTAAAAACTGTCTTCTGAAAATTCAGTTTAGCTGTGTTAGTTATTCCATGTGGCAGTTCTAGAAGATTGACCTTTAAACTATTGTAGCTTAGCACAGAAATGGCTAATACATTCAAAATTACTTTTTATTTCAAAAATTCATGTTTATTAAAGTACATATGTCAATATTGCTCATCCTTAGATCTCAAAACCCTGAAGCTGAAAGGGCTGTTCCTTTGGGTGACATGTAGAGCTGCACAAACTAACAGTTGTTGAAGATCTGGCCTATATCTGGTTTTTCAGCCTTTGCCTGATGTGACCTTAACCTACAATTTTAAATGCCTGGAGATAATTTAACTTAAGTGCCACTTTTTGGTCAGTATGGAACAGTTACTGTGGTGAGCCTGCTCTAATTCCTCCAAGACCACCCAAGCGTATGTTCTATTTGATGTGTATGTAGGCCTGTCAGACAACAATGCAGAGTTAGTGTAGTCTGTGGCTATCCCAAAGCCATTCAGGCCTTTTAAGTATACATAAAATGTTGGAATTAAAACACATTTTAATTTCTCTGTATGCATTTAACAGTTTACCTGAATTTTATTTGACAATCCAGCAAAAAGATTTAATTTTTTGTTGCACATTGTCTTTGTTAGCTTATTTAAAATCTGATCCATCTCCATTTTCTTTAGAACAAAACTGAATGCCAGGCAGATAATTTGGTCATAGTTTTTTTATAGATAGAATAATAAAATATAAACAAAAGAGAAAGGGTGATGCATTTGCAATTATATGAAAACTGACAACTAACGCTAATGATTTTTTAAATTCTTTTAAAAAAAGTTTTTAAGAAAACAAGCACAAGTGTTAGCCTGACTTCAGTATCCAGTAATATCTCACCTATCACAACATAAGATTAATTTCCTTTTTTATCTAACTCAAAAACCAGTCAGTGAGAGGTATTTCATATTTGTTGGAAGCTAACAAAGTTGAAAAGTAAGATGCACTGTGGAACTCTGCTAAAAGGTGCAGCTGTGCCAGCTGCTTTACTGGCAGAAGCACTCTGGCTTGAATACCAGAAACATTCCACCAACATGTTTTTTATTGTTTTTTTTCTTTTCAGTTCTCACTTACAATTATTATTTTTATCTATACATCTCATTAAAAAGTCTTGTCTTTTGTTTGTGCTTTCCAGAATGTTCTCTTAAGGTTAAAAACATACTAAGAAAGGGTGAAGTTTGCAGCTCAGTAATGTAATAGAAGCTGTTGTCCATACAGAACACCAATTGTTTCAACAATCAAAAACAGTATTTGGATGTGCACAAAGATTTGAAATAAGAGTTGTGGCATTTTCTCTACAGATCCAACTGAGTTCTGCAATATCCTATCGCATACTTTTCCAGGTGCATAGTAAAGGATCTTCTTTACTTCCTTTACTAGGAATTTATTTTTCTGGACACCTTAGGACACTTACGAATGCATGGAACTGCCTCAGGGAATACCTTAGTCTACATCTCGGTCTCTGCACACCAGCACTATGCCTCCCAATGGATGGCAATCTAGCCGTGCACTTTTTGCACATTGAGCACTGCCTCAGCTGCATATTTTATTACCTAACACATGCAAAACCACTGCATGTGCACAGCATGCAATCATAATTCTATGAAATTGATGCAGCTGTTCTCTGGAGACCCCAAGGGTACTTCTAAGCCAGGGCTAGTTCAACAACAAATATAAGCTTTCGTCTTCCATGTATTTCAGTTCTATAGCTGCTCAGAAGAAAAAAATGTTGCAGGTATTTTGAACAATCTACTAAATAGGTGATTTTAATTCCCTTCAGTAAAATCGCTGACCTAGTTTGTATGCTCATAAGAGAGAAATAAAATAATAATAAAGTCATGTTCTGTACTCTAAACCCAGCTATATCTGTAGACCCTTTCTTATTGTTTTGTTTTTAACAAATGTCAATCTCCTTGTTTTGAGTCTGATTGAAATTTGTTCTGTGTTGGGACTTTAAAAAGATTTCTCTCCCATGGAGAGTTTTTTACTTTGTTGATGCATAAGCGCTTGCATCAGTCATTCCTGAAGTCTAGGCCATTGAACAATCTCTTCCTGTCTTGTAATTTAATGACGCTCATGGGTGCTTAACTGCCTGCAAGATCTCTGTCAAACTTGAAGTCAACCAGTGAGTTAAAAGCTGTTGGAACACGTGTACACACTGGCATGCACAGCAGTATCGTATAAGACTTGTTTACAAGCTTGTGAAATGACACAATGCTGTCTCAGGTGATGACCATCTCAGAAAATATTTGGTGATTAAAACTGAACCCTGAGACTGCACATACCTTCTCTAAGCTAAGCTCTTCTTAATTAATACCATAATATTTATTTTCAATCTGATTATTTTCAGTCTGATCAATCGGAACCAACGAAGAGGGTCTCCCCATTTAGAGAAACAGGGAAGGAGCTGAGGACTCTTCGTAAAGCTCTAGCTCGCTCAAGGTAAGGGGATCCAGAGCACAGAGGAATGTGCCAGTCAAGGCTAAAGGAATCTTTTGGTTCTGTAGTGGCAGCAGTTAGATTATAGGTGAAATAATCAACTGTCCTAACAGCTTCAAAAAGATCATTTACAATTCTTCTTTTACAGGCTTTCAGTATACTCAAAATGTTGCCAGTGCTGTATGAGGAATGATTGTTTGCTCTGGTGGTATCGATACTATATTGTTTTAGTGGTTTTGGTTTTTTTGTAGAGGTTCTTTATAATTCTTTGTATTCTTTTGCATGACGCACTGTTGTGCCAAAATTAAGTAGTCAAAAATGAGTGATGTTAGGATGTATAATGTCTATTATGCACTGGAAAATCACAGTGAAAATATCTACCACTATTCTAGAAAATACCTGCATGGACTCATTTGGAATATACCAACCTGAGTCTCAGGAAGATGCTGACATGGAAGGAACAGATTCTTGTGCCCCTTATCTGATGGCTAGTGAGCTGTTACAACAGGACATGGATTTGGGATCCTATGTATCTTTTAGGCAGCTGAGTTTGGACAGCAACCACTATTTGGTTTATGGGACTGACCACAGAAAGTAGCTGGGTGTGCATGCTTTTCCTAGAAAGTATCTTCTGTTGCCACAAGGCACAATACACTTCTGTCCCAGCAGGGCATTCCTTATGGTCTCATTTGAAAAAAACAAACAAACAAAAAAAACCGAGGGAGGTCTATTGGGAATTGGCTTTAGCAGAGAGTACTCTCCCATTTAGGCACTCATACTCTTAAATGTACTTAGGCTGTGTTGTCACTCATGTTTCACCATTGTCTCTGCAGGTGGTGCTTAAGTTGACAAGATTGAGGCTTCAACATGCTTTTCTGTTGCAATCACACATTCTGATTGCACTCCAAACTTGCCTACAGAGACCATTCACTCTATTAGCTCAGTATGCAGTTTAGCAACTGTTTAAGCTAATAATAAGCCTTGCAGTAGGCGACTCTAGGGTTTTCTAAATATTCCTGGAACCTCCTAGCTTTCTTGATGTGAGTCTTACACTAAGAAACAAGATTCATTTGCAACTGAAACAGCAAGCAGCAGTACAAAAATTATTTACATCTGGTAAGGTTTAGTTACAGCCTGCTGCAAATAAAACTGACAAATTACCATTGCCAGCCCCAGCAGGGTACAGATTACACAAGTGTTTACACGGTTCCTAGACTTGTAAGTGTTTGAAGAGCATTCACTAGATAAAAATAGTTGAATTAAAGCAAGCAGCCACAAGATAGACATCTATATAAAAATAATGAAGTTAAATCTAAGCAAATACGGCAGTCAGGAGCACACATGATATTGTATCAGGATAATGTTGAAGACAAGTTAGGCTCTTGCATTGCTTGACTGAGATTAACTGCATAAAACTCAAGGAAGTTAGGGAAAATTAGCTTCTTTGCTTATACTACTGTAGAGGAATCAGAACTTTACATTTCACAATAATGTGTTTTTAAATATTCCCAAATTATTATATCAGAGCAATCTCTAGATTTTATACTAATTACTTGTGATAACATTAAATTTCACGTTCTTATCTTTTATCCTTCTCGGCATCCAATTATTTTTATTATTTGCTTACTCTGTTAATTCACTTTCAGTGAATTTTTTTGATAAATTGGCCAAAAATAGTAATAATCCATAAATAAAATAATAAATGCTATGTGCTTTGAAGGTTGGATAAGCTATTTTAGTAAAGCATGACTTGTTTTTGCCATAAATGCACTGTTAGTTATGTTTGACTGCCTGCGTTCATTGTTCATTGCTAAGTTTCAGTGGGATTGTCTCCTTGAGGTCAAGTTGTTCTGATGATAACCTGCCAAAGATCAGTTTACTATTTGATATATGAATTGCAGGTGCTTTGGAGCTTGCTTTTGGTTGCTTTATATTCTTTGCTTTCAAATGAGTAGGGCAAAAAAATACTTGCAAATGTTCTGTTGGATGTACCACTGTTGGTACTAAAAGTCTTGATTTTTTTTTTTTTAAGTGCTACCAATTTTATTTGTAGACATTTGGATGAAGCAAACTGGACCAGCTATTTCAGTAAAATTGGCAGTTTGAACAAATGAAGTGTCATTTTGTTAGTAGGTTAACATGAGGGTGTCTTGATTTGATGCTTGTTAGGAAATGTGCTTTTGAAATGCCGTTAGGAGCTCCATGGCCAACCTAGAGATGTTTAGGATCAGCTGAGCTCTTCCACAGCTTTGAAATTCTCTCCAGTTGAGTGGATTAAGTGTGAGTTTCTAACCGTATAATTGTAGAAACCAATGAAATTAAATTTGATTTTATAAAAGCCTAGATCATCAAGATTATTGTGAGTAACATGATATAGAACTGCTTTCGCAGAAGGTGGTGTTTTGGGCCCTTTCATGAGGGACTAAATCTGAAGGATTCAGTGGCATGAAAAGCCATGCTTTTCAAAGTTAACATTTCCATGGGCTAAAAAGCACCATGTAGGATAACAGTGGTACAAACTGAAGCTGGACATGATTTGTCCATGCCAGAAGGAGTGAAAAAAGTAGATTGGCTCTCTATACAATCTGTTTCTTCTGCTCCCTGTTTCTAAGTATTACAGCATTGTGTTGAGTGCTACGTGGGGAGGTCAGAAATGGGGTGTGTGTGTTGGGGGGTGTCAAGATATTGATCCTAACTTTTGGCTGTGCAGATAACTTTTTATGTACCATCATGCAAATCACTTGACCCCTTTGCGGCTCTCTCAAGTAACTTGGGATTGGAAACTAGGCTGTACCTGAACTAAACTTGCTGCGTAAATGTGTAGTTTCTAAATTGGCATGGATGGCAGAGTGTGAATGAGGATTGCTTTCAATACTGAAAGCAAAAATTCTTTTTTTTCATGTAGGGCATATTTTTTCTTACCATTTTCATTTATAATTGGCTTTTTTATTTTTAATCTTATTACCATTATCTTATGATTTTAGGAATGTTAGTTTGATATATTTTACAATGCCTAGCACTCAAGTACATGCAAGCATTGTCTTATTCATCTCTGCAGCACTGCTAGGTATTAGGTAGATAAATATTATTACCCCTATAGTAAATTATGAAAGTCAAATTGGGGATATAAGGTTAATATCACTGGAACAGCTACAATTGGAATTCAGGTGTCTCAGGTAAGTAAATGCCTTACTTATTCTTCTAGACTTGAGTGATGCCTCTCTTTCTCCCATTTTTATTTTCAAAAGTGGCTTGCTAAATTAGAAGCCACAGGGAAGGACTGCTTAAGAGATCCAGCCCACTACTCTGGGTGAGTGTAGTTGTTCCCTGTAACAGATGAAGTGTTTAGTCTAGCCTACTTTTAACTGAAGATACTTCTGTTTCCTGCACTGCATTGTGATAAATGCAGATTTGCCTTCCACTCAATTTTTAATGGTAATGCAATCTGCAAAATTATGTTAAATGTAGATTTTTTTTTTTTTAATGATGTGTATAGATTTGATCTGAATGTGTTTTGATGTCGTATCTTTTCTCTGAGTGATTAAACCCCCAGATTTTAGTCTTTCATCCCTGCTCAACTCCAGAAGCCAATACAGCTAAAGGGACAAACAAGATTTTATTCCTTTTATGTACATTATCGGCTGAATTGTGTGCTACATCCTGATCAGTTGTGCCTGCACCACACCCACAGAGGATAGTGATGTTGTGCCATTGTTCTTAAATATCTAATTTGGCTTGCAGAATCCTTTTTACTGCTGATGCAGAAGAAGGAAAGAACCCAACTCCACTTTAATATCCCAAGCAGAGTTTGAAATGCTGATAAGTAAGAAAATACCTACCTGTTAAAGCATCTACAACTCTGCCATCATCTTCTAGTCCCATAAATTTAATTCATAGTTGTGTTCAAAACTAGCTTCATGTGATTTCAAATGCCTGTGTGGAAATATTCCTGACCACAAGTTTTCCATGGCAATTAAAACAGATGGAAGATGAAGAAAGGGAAGACTTAATCTTGTGCTACTGCACAGATAAATATATATTTGCTTTTTACATTTACACCCATTTGTTTTTTGAAGATCAGAAGTTTAGCAATGTCAGGGCCTAGTCAAAGCCACTTAATACACTCAGCAGAAATGTGCTTTCTGTTCTTGTGTAGGCAATGGTCACATTAATACAAGTTTCTGGAAAACACTGTTGTCTGAATAAATGCTCAAATGAAGTTTGCCCGTCATATCATGTAATACCATACATTCTTTACACTGTAATTGCAGTAGTGATCCTGTAACACACCTAATATAACTTATTCTATTTACTGTGGCAATTAAATAATGAATCCCACATATTTTGTATTATTTAAGAAGTGATGTATGATATGAGCTATAATGGCCATTTTTAAATGTGAACTCACTTTCTGAAATGTACGGTAGCCAAATGACCCAGTGTGCAGAAAAATATCCAACTGACTTAATACCTGGAAATCAAAGGTATACGTTAACTGGTTGGGGGTTTTAAAATTTTTATTGTATTGTGTAAGCCTGGAAATTTTTCAAGTGTCATTGTACGATCTTCTAACAATGAAAATGTGCTAGCAATTCATCTTGAGTGTTTGCACAATGTTACTTGGACTAAATCTTCATGTAGAAAAAAGAACAGTAAGGGGAGCAAAGAAATCAAACTTTGGCTTTTCAACCAAATATTGAGATGTGAAGTTTCAGGAAAAAGAGAATTTCAAGTGAGCATGACTGCACTGCTGTTTTGGACCAAAGGACATGTCAGCAACACTTCTTAGTAACAATTTCAGACTATAGAAAAGGAGCTATTTTAGAAAAAAAGAGGCAGAGTGGAGAATGCAAGAAAGAAAGAAAACTGGAGCCTTCTCCAGGGCAGCAACTTTTAATTTCAATTAAAGCAGTCAGGCTAGCAGAGCAGTGTGCTAATACATACTACAGGGAGTCAGTGAATACAAATGACCTTTGTGGATTTGATTTTTGCGGCTTTTCCTC